GCACAACGGGAACCCGCACGACCTGCTGGACATCAGGCAGATGAGGGACCGGAGCAGCCACCCCATCGTCAAGAAAATTAAACCAGGTCGGTGCCGCCCCTCTCTGCTCCTGGCCCCGAGGCCAGCGCACACGGGACGGGTACGGCCACTGCCCGCCACGGGGCTAGGCTGGTCACCGCATCCTGTCCCCACGCAGGCATCTCCGTGGCGGCGGCAGACCCACAGCAGGCGACGCCCTACCTGCGCTCTCTGCTCCAGTTCGCAGCAGCCCACGTCCCGGCTCCAAAGCACAAGGAAACCCCGCTGTACATCCTGTGCACAGCCGGCATGCGGCTGCTGCCCGAGAGGTGAGTGCGTCAGCCCTTGCCGGGGGAGCCACGGACCTGCTGGGATCCCTCAGCCACGGGAAGGGCAAAGAGAACAACCTTGTCCTGCGCCTCATGGGAGAATCAGGACTCCTGGTGGGGATTTGAGAAAGGAGCAAGCGGCGAGGGCTGCAGAGGGAGGGTCTGAGCACGCTGGGGGGTGAGAACTGCATACGAAATCGATCTACTTTCTCCAAAGTGCATTGGATGCACTAATGGGGCTCATGTGGGGTGCATTGCAGTGGGATTCCCGCTGTCTCTTGGATTCCCACAAAGGAGTGTCACTGTTGAAGGTCCCTAAGCATCTGTCCCTCTCCTGCACCCTTGCAGGCAGCAAGCTGCAATCCTGGAGGATCTGGTGAGAAACGTGCCCCTGGAGTTTGATTTCCTCTTCTCCAAATCACATGCAGAAGTGATCTCAGGGAAACAGGAAGGTAGGAGCTGCCGCGAAGCACTGCTTGGTTCCCTTTAGCATGCTGCTATAATGATTCATGCTGTCTCGTACAGGTGTCTATGCTTGGATTGGCATCAACTTTGTCTTAGGCCGGTTTGATCATGAGGATGGTGAGTCTGTCTGCAGAGCAGCTGGGAGGGTCTGAAAGACCTCTGAGCACATCCCTGCTGGAGCTTGCCCCAGCTCTGGGGCAGGCAGCATCTGCCCCTCAGGGCAGGCAGTGCCTGGCCCCAGCCACGCGTTCAAAACCACTCCTGGACGTGGGGCCCAGAGGGGCACCTGCCCCAGTTGCAGGAATGAGTCCCTGCATGGGGAGAGTGGGACATGTGCAGCGTTTTGGGAGAAGAAGCAGGGGGAGAGGGTTTGTAGTAGTGTTCCTGTGGTGGATGCTTTGGGGGAACCTACATAGCAGGGGGGTGGCCAGCCCTGAGTGCCAGGACCGGCAGGTTATCCTCAGGGGCTGCTTGTAGAGGTGGAGGAGCCCCACAAGGCTGCGCCAGGGGGTAACAGTGAGAGGGAGGAGGTGCTGCCCAAGGTCCTGCCCCTCACTGATATGCTGCTGTGCGTTGCAGAGGAGGATGCGGTGGTCACTGTAGCTCTGGGCAACAAAGGAGAGTCCTTGGTTCGGAAGCGAACAGTTGGGATCCTAGACATGGGGGGCGCCTCCCTGCAGATCGCCTATGAAGTGCCTGAGTCTGGAGCCTTCTCCTCTGCGCAGCAGGTGCTTATTGGGCGTGCTGGCCCCGAGAGCAGCCCTTGCCTTCCCTGGGTCGCTGCTGATCACAGACCTCTCTGCATCCCAGGAGGAAGCTGCCAAGAGCCTGCTGGCAGAATTCAACCTGGGCTGCGATGTGCAGCACACTGGCCACCTGTACCGCGTCTACGTCAACACCTTCCTGGGCTTTGGGGGCAATTTTGCCCGGCAGCGCTATGAAGAGCTTGTGCTGAACCAGACCTTTGTGCACAACCGGTATTGCTGCCTTGCCTATCGGTGCCCATGGGCTGCTGGTTCCTTCACACCACCCTCTCTCACCATTGGATTTGCCCCAAGAGCCACCCATGGCGATAACGGTTCCCACAGCCACGCTGGCAGCAGCAGATGCCCAGGCTGGCACACAGGGCACAGGCACTGCCCTTTGAGCCCAGCAGGCGTTATCAGTGCCACAGCTCCCAGCCTTCCTCCTCCTCCCCTTGCTGCTGGCTGTGGGGAGGCCCCTCTGGTGGCTTTCAGCTTCTCTTGCTCTGACTTTCCCTCCGTCTCCAGCACTGATTCACTCAGCACATCTTTCCATCGCATCCCTACCTCGAGCTCTCTGTCTCCTGTCTCGTTCCCTTCCCAGAGTGCTACGTGAAGCTGTCGCCAGAGGTGGAGAGGCTTGGTGCCCAGGTACTCCTGTGCCGGGAGCAAACCCTGCCTCTAGATCCCCCGGGGGCTGCGCAGGGGTGCAGATTCCCAGGAGCTGGGTAGGGTGGCTGTGCCATGTTGCACCCCACAGGTGCTCAGTGCACGTGGCTGCAGGTCAGCGTGACAGATGTGCCGAGTTTGGCTTTGGCAGGAGGTGGCAGGGTGGGTGACAGCAGCGCAGGGTACAAGGGCACACAGCCTGGTTTGGCACCAGGGGTATCTGGATGTGGGGCAGTGCTAGGTGAGGCTTTTGGGGGTGGTACAGGATCCCCTGTGCAATTACCTTTCCTTCCTGGCCTGTCTTCCAGCCTGCACGGCCAGCAGACAGCACTGAGCCCTGAGACACCCTTCCTGGACCCCTGCCTGCCTATGGGGCTGGAGGACACGGTGACAAGGGGCAGCCAAACCTTCTATGTCCGGGGGCGAGGGGACTGGCCAGCCCGCGTGGACCTGCTGCATCCCCTCCC